GCTCCACTCCTCATTTCAAACAGCACTAATCACACTTTGCTAAGCTCAAACCGACTGCTCCCAACTTAATATTCAAAGAGCACATCCCATCTATCAAGTAAACTTATAATAGCTTTCTGCACCAAGGACATCACAAGAATTTGCCATGGGAACCTTGTGCACGGTTCGAGCTCAACTGGTCTTCGACGGATCATGGGCCATTGCGAGGTTATCTGAAAGGCTGGTTGGAAGTGGTCTTGCAGATTTAGAACTACCGTTCTCAGAAAGCAATCTGTCAATGACCCGATGGCAGCTTCAGGGTGGAACGATTACCGCAGGCCTTCTTGAGCTCAACGGTGATGGAAGATGACGTCATATTTTGAGGACGGTGAGGGCAGTGGGAGGGCCTGCTTCTACTTATGGGAGGACATCTAAGGAATATTTTGCCGTAAAACTTTCATCAACAGCGGCACCTGTGCGACGAAAAGTTTGATGATGTGCGCCATGGGCAAAGTGTCTCTTTTTTGGCCACCCCTGTACGCACGGCCGAATTCTTTTGTAGCATAATTGTTGCCTTGGATACCACTCAGGTGCGGCGCAAGGCGAGTCTTAGCAGTGCCATACTGGAGGAGCGAATGATTTGGGCCAGTTGTTCCATAATAAGAGCTTTGATTCTAAAACCAAACGAGAAGCAAGTGGAAAACGAACTTGGTGATGTTGTGACGGGGCATACCGAATCCAGTCATGCCGGACTGATTGGCGAATCGGTTGGTTCCCATTTGAAGATGGATGAAGCCTTGTGATTCTCGGTCCTGCTCCTCGGCCTTGCGAACTGCAATTAGGGGTATTAGGCATGACACACACTAGGGAAATTCCACTAGAGCAAAGTTACCATCTACGATACGCGGCATTCCGATTCCAGTCATACCGGCTTGAGAGGCGAGTTTATTTGTTCCGGATTGGAGGGGCACAATACCATCAGAGGCACGAGCCTAAACACAGCAAATCTCAGATTCGATGAATACAAATATTCTGATCATGATGGGAGACGCAAAGATTCGCGGGATATCCCTTCATAGGGAAGAGAGATGCAACTTCAGCGGAGTCTAGTTCTTATGCAGATGGATCGGTACCATCTACTGCATCCGTGCTGACTATGGCTTGGGTTGGCCGGGCGCTTTGGATCGTGTTCTTAAAACGCTTAACAGGTGAATGAGAGGTTACGCGCCACTGATAGATCACGATTGCGACTGGCAATCGATAATATGGTTGATCCCTTCAGATGGTCGGAAACTGAGGCTGTTCAAGTCCACTCCAGGCTTCCTGCTCATTTACCTTCTCTTCGGATACCTCACTGGCACCACCGGTTCCTTTCGTCTTGTAGTTGACATCTCGAGGTGATCCGAAGCCTAAAACAAATTAGTAAGCTAATCGTTGCACTTGAACAGGAAATATGACACTAGGAGAGAACAACTTACCGGTTTGTCCCTTCTGGGAGGCAAATTTGTTGGTACCGGACTGAAGCCAGGTGGAAGCCTTCAGAGCTTCAATCTTTTTCTCATCGGTGATTTCGGCCAGATTGTCGGACTTGATTTTGTCAATGACGTCACGAGGCACTCCGAATCCTAAAACGGGCTATTGCTATATTTTGAGTTCGATGGTCCTGAGGCACAGTTTAAAAGTCCAATGGATCTTGGTCCCGAGTAGGGTGAACAGTTTATGGCCCCTCTGATGACTTAGCTCAGCATTGATTGGACGCTGCTGTCATCGCGCCCTTTGCCCCTGTTACTTTTCCTACAGCGATAATGGGATTAAGATAGGAGGCACTTGAACGACGTAAACAGAAGCAGTGCGAAGTTCATTTGTTGTCTACCCAGGTCACCTTAGATCCGTTTATGGTGAACCTTGCTCTCATCGTTTTATAGTTGATCAAAGTGCACTTTATGGAGTGTAGGCTGTCTTCCCAAGCCATTCCCTTTACCAGAAACCTCAAAGGTTTACTAATCAGCGACTCAGTCTAGGTTAACACGAGGAAAAAGTGGATTGATGGAACACTTGAAGCTAATTTAGTAATATTGTGTTCCCGGGAACGGCTCCTGTATCCTGTACATGATAGACTTCTAGTGACTTCCAGTATTGAGAAGCCATAACTAATAAGCCCTCAATGTTTCGTCGCAAATGTTTTTCTTAGTGAGCGTAGATATATTAAAATGCGCCGGGGTAGGAATGAATACTCTGCAAATCGAATCCAGCCCCTGTACATGGCCTATCGAATCCGACTTGCATGTTCTAATCGATAGTGAGTTCATCGAGCAAGAAAGTAACCCCAAAGCACCACAAGTCACTATATGGCTTAAGACTTTCCAATAATATTTATGATTTGGAAACGAAGACGAATGTGTAAGGTTCACCAGTGAAACGAGATTCCACTTGTACCCCAATGTGATTTTTGGAATGATGTATCTCTCCCTTACTTAGTATATAACTTTGTCCACTTGTTTCATATATTGTTTTTCGAGTAATTTCAACGTGAAGAATCCAGAGAAGCAGTTTATTTTACTTAACATGTTCTCAAGTTTCTCCCTACTCATATCAACAGTCGAATTTTCCAAAGAGGTTGGGGGAACTCCGACATTACGTGTTACAGTGACGATTATATGTGGAATTGAGCATGAAACCCTCCCCATATCAGGTAAAGCGCCATTCGCAGATAGTTGGTTTAGTATGTGCATTTCCACTAGTAAGCTTGTTACGTGAGGGCGAGGAAGGGGGAGATTCTCTAGAGGAAAGGCACGCGGGACCCACTAAAGCGAATTTTGCGACTTCCATAAATCTGAAAGATGTGGGTATATCGATAGGTGTTTCTGAACCGCTAGATTGCAAACTGTTTAGGGGACACTTAATGCTAGTGAACTTTCTTTGAAAGTTTTATGGAGCCTTCAAGTTGGCAAAGTGAGCTTATCAGGTCTAAGTGTTGTGTGTGTGGACGATGCAGGGTGGTGTGGGGAGTGGGTGAGAGCTCTCGCCTAATAGTCGGTTTGGTCGTCGGGTTTTGTCCTTGTGTGGAATTTATGTGTTGCGTGGTGTGTTGGGGGCTTTGTTTATTCGCATTTTGTTTTATTCAAAACAAACAAAACAACCAAACAGGCGCTTATCTGGGCGGGTAGTTCAAATGTTTGACGCGAGAGATCAAATGGACGTGGAGACATGTTATCGATTTGCATTCATTAATCATGCCTTTCTCCCTTGCAAAGGTAGTTTCCCTTCTTTACGCTGAATTCGGGTCTCAACTCGAAGACAGCAGGTAGACTGTTTAGAATATTATCGTATTTTCATTCCGTTCCCGATAATAGAAAAGTTCTAGGTAGCTATGTCTTGTACCTTTCGGGACAATTCGTACTTACAGACGGTAAATGGGAGTGGCTTTCATATTAATGAAGTAGAAGACACAAATCCTGATAACAGCCCTTGCTGGATTCAAAAAACAGTGTGCAAAAACTCTGGCTCCGGCCGGGAGCAAACCCACGACCAGCCGCCTTTAGAACGAGAGCTCTACTCACTAGCGAGCTGCTCGCCAACTGGCTTGTCAGCGCATACTGTCCAGAAATAAATCAGGATAGATATTTGGCATGAGGTCATAATATTTCAAGAAGTTTCACCATAGCAGTTATAGTTCTATTTGCATGCAGCGTTCAGCTCCCCTATGTTATACCAGGTCATCTTCCCAGTTCATGGAGTTCCAAAAGATTTCTATGTAAGGGCGGCGAGCGATGCTCGTTTTCGCATGCAAAGAGTGTAGTAATCTAGTGGCATAGCAGCAGGGTCAACCCTACCGCTGGTACTTGTAAGATTTTCACGCCCCCCCCCCTTTGTATGTATGCATGTGTACAGGCATCATCCCACCCGTACTGATCGCGTTTTGAATGTACTGAATCGCGCTCATTAGGGCCCGACAATAGGACGTGTTAGCTGACCGTAAGCAGGCGACGAACGAGAATTCAGACGAATTTTTTGTTGCATAATTTCAGGTTCTCCGCCTGGCCTTAGCCTACCACGAGAGGCAGCGTTGGCAATGAAGAGGACAGCACCTATGAAAGCCGCATCAATGCAGAAATCAACGAGCAAAGAAGCGGTCCCATTTCTCAGGTTCTCGGTCGTTTTGCATAGTTTTTCTCGTCTTGGCACCATTGACCACCTCTCCTTGATTTCTGGTGGCTGCCTTTTCTTCGTAGGCTCCGCGTTTAATAAGCGAAATGAGCAACATTACATAAATGCAACAGAGATACTAGCATTCGTCGCCAGCTATTCCCTCATGTTTGCGCCCTTTTCCTATTTATAAGGCTAATCGTAATAAAATTCTCCCATACTGCAGATATCTGGTACTGCTGAGAGAGTCGTTCTAAACACAGTGGAATGGACTCTGTTCAAGATTCAAAGTGAGACCACTCACCGGTCATTCCCTTCTGGGAGGCATACTTGTTCGATCCAGCCTGAATCGGGATGATTCCCTCGGAGCGCATGAGCTTGTTCTTGTCGTGCTTCGATGGCTTACCGGCAGAATATTGTTGTTGCCTGAAAAATCAAATGTAAGGAACATTTTCCATTTTCTGCATTTCCTTTAACTGAACTTCTTGTGAAGTTCACAAGCTCATTTCTTCGCAGACTAAATCTTCGGAGCTGATCAAGTTCTTTTTGGATGCCATTGTTCCCAATCAGACTTGCAGTAGCATTTGAATGCACTTTGGCGCTTACGATGTAGAGATAGTGAAGGCAAGCCGATGCGCAAGTCCGCAGTTTTGGCTTCTCAGAAAACCCTGGTACAAAACCGACCTTGGAGAGATGGAAGACCTGGTTATCGGTCTGGGGATAGTCGACGTGGGATTTGAATTTCGGACAAGTAGCTAGCAAGTTACGCCACTTCCGGGTCCAGGTTGGCCACCTTTGCCACCTTTGGTTTATAAGGTGGAAATTGTCTGTTACTGCGAAAATTTCGCTAGTCAATTTCGGGAAGTAACCAACGGAAACGTTTTCTAGCCGTTCGCATCATATAGTACGCATCCCAGAAAAAATCAATAAATAGGCTGAGACAAGATTAGGGTATCCCAAAAGTTCTATGAGATTTCAGTCCCTCAATGATTGGGAAAGGTGTAGCGGAGGGATGTGCCACAGCAACTAACTAATACAATGCACGCAACAGAGCATCCCGAAAGATCGCGTCTGAAGCTGGTCGGCATTTTAGTTCGTAATTGGCACTGTGGGAACCCTGGTCGAATTATTTGCTATAACACCGCCATCAACGTCTTCTGTTTCCCTGTTGCCGTTCTGGACGTTCTGCCATTCAAGCAAGAATGAGACGGGCTCTTCAATGGACAACAGTGCACCTCGCCTGGAGCCTGTCATGAGTCGTACGATCACTCCTTCAGAGTTTCACCTCGACGAAATTCCGCGGAGCGGATGTTCTCGTTCTCTTTATAGCGTCTTTGTATTATTGTTCCAGCCGCCGCCCAAAGCAATCCCGCCTAACCTTCGAGGGCAATGTAAAGAACCACGCCTAATTCCCATTCCATCACCTAAGAGATTTCCAGAAGAGCTCTCTCTGGAGCACTGGGTTTTCATTTGGAAATATCCCTCACTTTTTAAACAATGAAACAGCGACATAAAAAACAATTGATTTGCACGACAGCTTCTCGAATTGAACGGAACGCATATTGGCTAACTTTCGATACCACACCAGATAAAATGAACATCATAATCAATCTGAAAAAAGTATCGACTTCCAGCCGACGTGAGGCCCTGGACCATTCCTAAGGAAGGCTCCACACGTTTCACACCAAGAAGGAGAAGATTTCACTTTTCTTCTACTTCATACGGTGCGCATCTTTAGATATAATTGGCCGAGTGCCCTGAACAGGCAAAATGCGTTCTAGTGTAACAAGGCGAGAGAATAATTCCAAAATCCCCAATCCCACCAGTTTCCTGAATAGTTTAACCAACCTGAATCAAACAATGGTTCGAACTTCATAGGCGAACGTCGGTGGAGCAGCTGGAAAGCAGGGTCAACCGTCACGTTGGACAAATTTCAAAGATTTTACGACTACCCCCTTTCTAGAGAGCCTCGATACGACCCCGCCCCCCACACGACCACCATGAGACTCAGACATATCTACATCCATAAACGCCCATACGAGGGCTGTTACAAGCAAAAATAAAACGTAAATGACGTAATCCATCGAACCAGTGACACAGGCACCAACTCCACTCACATCTTCTCCTACCGAATTTAGCCGCTCGAACAGTCTATATATCAATAAGTGAAAACGGCAAATTGTTTCGAGCGCTCGCACAATAGCCGGGAGCGTCACACTACGATCCCTCCGTGGCGTAGCGAATAATCCTCCTCCGACCCGTAATTACGACCGAGCCCCTCTTTCAAATCCTCGAGGGGCCCAACCGTCCGTCCACAGTCAACCTCCTTTGACTTTACGGTCGACCCTGATGGAAAAGCCAAAGGCATCCACCTATCTCCAACAACCACTTGTCAATTACCCACCCATTATTATTAACCATGCTTGCGAAGAGTCCTACATATCTCAACAATCAGGTGAATAAATATTAAAACTTCAACATTCTGTTTTCCCCAACCGCTCAAAACATTCACAAGCAGGATCAAACATGCAGGCGATCAATAGTCAAGCTCTGCCCGTTGACGGAGAGACGCCGTGATGAGGACAGGACACTATCATGGCTGGATAAGACGCTTTTCTTCCTGTCGTTGTTTTTTAAATGAGGGTTGAGTTTCTCTAGACTTTCAGGACACTTAGGCTCTATACAAGTGGGGTGGGCACGCCCAGCTTTTCACGCATGTCAAGTGACTGCCCTCACCCCCACCCCCTAGATTGGCTACACTCCCCTGGCTCACGAATTCCCCGATTCTCGTGACAGTATAGTAGCGGGCAGCAGTCCCACTTACATACATTTCTGTTCAAAAAATGCGGCGTGCCCACCCTACTTGTGTAGCATCCATACTCATACTAACGTTCTGTGCCCGAAACAGACATTCATCAGTTTAACACTTTCGATACAACAGATGGATTCTACTATAGCTGGCATTGTGTAGTTTTGTAGATTCACTCACTTTCGAAGCATAGTCTCAGACACGCTGAAGCCGGTGGTTCGTCCAGGTGTCGGACTTTTCAGCGCCGAACCTACTGTTCCGGTGGAACGGGGGGTATGCAGTTGATCGTCCTTTTTCTCATCCTGAAATACTTCAAATGAATACTGCTGGCTAAAATGGGCCAAATTAGAATTATTTTCGAAGTGGAATGAGGAGATGCAGGAATTCCCCCTACTCATCATCCATGTCGCACTTTTCCAACTAAATAACAACCCAATTCATCATTATCCAGAAGGGCAGTGGAATGCTCCCTCGCCCCTCGGCTGTCCGTCAAGGCGATCGGCAATCGTCGCGGTTTAGCGCACAGCTCGCGGTAGTTACATTATTACAGCAGTTTCGAGATGTGCGGCGTAGCGCTCAATAAAGTTTAAAGCTGAGCGCGGGGCATCCGCCGACGCGACGTCGGCTGCTACTGCTTGCGGCCACGGAAGAAATGCTAGCAATGGTATATGAAGATGAAGTGCTATAATCGTTCGCAGTTGACACAAAGAAATTGAAAAATAAGGATCAGCAGCACGGCGCGGAACGAAAAGAGCAGCGAGTAAAGCTCCTGTGACTTAAAAATAGTTTCGTGAAGGCTGTTGGGCATGCTTTTTACAGGAAGAGGGTAGCGGCACCAGCTGCGTGGGAGTTGATGAACCACATATTAAACCGTTACTTTGCGGGTTTTGGTTAACTAGGGCCTGTGAAATCAAGTCATGATAAAAAAAAACCCAACAAAGAGAGAAAGGACGCCTGGAAAATCAATCACAGTAGCAACTGCTTTCGAGATGTTCAACACATTGAATCCCACCTTGGAGTCGTAACGGCCTCTTCAATGCAATTTGGCTTACGAAATGACCTGCGGGGACCAACGATGTCCAATTCAGTGTTCCTTCTCGCTAAAGCAGGTCCTGTGCCGGTGACTCTGAGCTCATGGGGACCCCATCTAAAATTTGAATTTCGACCGCGCGCGTGGTTGGCGCTTTTGCCGCTACACCACCAACTCCTCCATTTGAGAGATGCATCTTATTATTCCCTGACTAAAAACTTTGCTACATGCGTTCAAGTCAGTAAAGTTTATTGGCAAAGCGAACGGTCTTTTTCTTTAATGACGCAGCCTTTACTGATAGAGAAATATTTCTAGTAGAATACCCAAAACG